AAAACTGACTTCATTTCACCACGCGTATGCATTTATGTTAAATCAAATTGAAAGTCGAGAAATTGGTTGGGTGCCTTCACGCTCATAGACATGCTCGATCTATTGATCGATAGTAATACATTGCAAATGGATAAGCTCTGTTATATAATGTCTGTAGTAGCTCTGTGCATAACTAATATAGAATGCCAAGCGAAGTTTGATGCGTGTGACTATCTTGTTTGGTTTAATAAAGTGTGTGTAAATGTCTCTCATTTCTTCAATTCTGCATTGTCGTTGCAAATAGAATGACGTCTCGTGATTTTTTTATGAATGAAAAAAGTAGTTCCGGTGTGACAGAAGTCAAGGGTTATCCAATCAAAACGAATAAAACGAGGTCAACCTTGTACAATACACGTGTGAAGTACGAATTTAGTATCTTACCACCTGTATCTCAACCACGAGGGTAATAATCATTGTTATGACACTACAACACTGTGATTATTGAGCCAGACACGATTCGCCATATGGTTACAATGTAGGAAGTTTCTGGACATCAGCGTTGATTCTAAAGTATTTAAACTGAGAGGTAAAAGAAAGTATACCGATGTTGGTTTATTTTATGTAATTTGAAATTGAAGAACCGTTGTTAAATTTGATTAGTTTTGTTTAAGCATCACTCATTCCTGCAACATTTTGTAAAAAGTAATCTGTCGTTGGATAATTGTATTAAAATAGAATTGACCGGCGTAAGAAATGGATTGGCAACCACACGACCACATGTTTGAAATGTTGGAGAGAAAAAAGGGAAAATTTATTATGTTTATAAGATATTAAGGTACCCATCAGCAGTTGTGTATTTGGCGGATTTTGAATATATTTTTATAAATTTTAAATCAAATTATGTTCAAAGTACTCTTTGACAAGTACAGCACAGTTCATTTTATATAATATCGCTAACTTAAGATATGTTCAATTGAATATGAAAAGCAGATGAAAAAATCAACTGAGAGGTATAGTTCTTTTTGTCTCACAGTTTATATAACTATATTCGAAAGTAAAATTACCCTAAAACACATTAGAATATACTTATACTATCAATTCCTAGTTAATTATATTCATTGAATGCTTTTATTCATGACTGAATCAATCACTAAGACTAATTAGCTTTACAGGCTTTGACAGAGTATCGCATCCCAGGGCTTGAGTAGGTGTGGGCAACTTTGGTCAACCGAAGTCAATCAGTTAATATGATCCCGCATAAGTCAACCATGTTAACGTAACCAAAAATTTCAAGTCGCATTCACCAGGGTTGTCTAGGGTTTGGGAATCGAACGGGAGCACCTATAGCTACTAACTAATGACACACACATCGACAACGCATGGCGTTGGCTTACTATACGCCCCAGAGGCTTATCAAGGAACGTAAAAGATTAATCAGCACTATCAGGCCCCTGTTGTGATATCTACCGGGCTACTACTGTTGAAACAATATATTGTGAAAACAACATGACGGATGGATGGATGGATGGATGGATGGATGCATGGATCCCAGATTCGCCTTGATGATGTTTCTGGTTTCATCACCACACCCGTGGTCATGGGTTTCACCAAAGATGTCAACTCCTCCTCCCAAATCAACCTGCTACACTTTTAAATTATCAATAGAAAGGAGGTGACAATGTTGGAATTGATTGACCAGGAAAGCTTTGTTTATCTCGTCCTTTACATGGCTAAACAGTGTAATTCATATTTACTTCACGAGTTTCCTAATTCGACAGTGATACATCAGTTTCTTAAAGAGAGAAAAACAGTTTGATAAATGTTGATGATTTTAATGTAGCGGAACTCGTCGCCATATTCGCGCGTCGAGCGTAAACTGGAAATCAGGTGCAGCATTCGGCTTGGCTGCATTTGATGCACTCATTTATCTGTGGTGGCCGAGGGAATTTACACACACAAAGTTGCACATGTGTCCCTTATTGGAAACTGTTGCAATTAATTGGAAATATCTTTCACACATATTGAATATCATCTGAAACTGAAATAATTGGGTCTGGACCAGGCAATCCAGTGATTGACATCATGAGCATCGATCCACGCAATTGTGATACGATAACATGCATCAACCAAGTCAGCGAGCATGGCCACCCGATCCCGTCAGTCACCAAAACTAATAGTTAAAACAAAAGTCATAATAATTATAGCTCGAGTGAGTGAGTGGGTGCCAGCAATTAAAATAATCTAGTCTTGACCAGACAACCCAGTGATTGAAAGCATGTCAGTGACCTAAGATCCACGCAATCTGGTCATGGTGACACACACTCCGCCAATCTGTTTAATCGACAACATGCCACCTGTTAAGATCTGGAGTAGAATAGGCCTTCAGCAACCCATGCTTGCTGTAAAAGGCGACTTTGCTTGTCATAAGAGGTGGCTAACGGGATCGGGTGGTAAGGCTTGCTGACTTGGTTGATGCATGTCATCGTATCCCAATTGCGCGGATCGGTGCTCATGATGTCAGTCACTGCATTGTCTGATTCAAACTCTATTATTTCCAGACCGCCGTCATATAGCTGGTATATTGTTCAGTACGGCGTTAAACAACAAACAAACAAACAAACAAATAAACAAATCGACAGCATGGCACAGGTACCGGGGGGACAATTCTATCAGGAATCCAACAGAAACAATACCATTGGATTAGAGTGAAGAAGTGAACAGGCTTTCTCGCAATCATATGTAGCAGAACCGATGTACAGAAAACGAAAGCAACCATCCCATGAGTGTTTTCTGTCATGTTTCACGTGAGCAATTAAAAAAGAAATGACAGCTGTAAAAATTCAATGGCGGAAGACCTCACAAGTTATTACACCATCTTTTGTCCCTGTCGCTGGGCAGTCTACCGTGACATGACCAGCAAAATATTTTTTCAGGCTGTAGACGCATGATTCCAAATAATTTTTGACAATATAATGCATCCAAAAAACGTCTCGTCGATTCAACGTGTATATAAGACCCGTGTGACTTTTCCAGAACGCTGACATCTTTCTCTTCAGACTGATTGCTGACTTTCTGGTGAGTCTTTTCTTCTTTCCTTAGCAAACAACTTGGTGTATTGCTAGATGGTAATACTAGGAAATTTGTCAGAAAAAGCACCTTTATTTACGCTGTTCAAACTTTGAACCTTTTTATATATGTTGACATCCAAGTGCCAAAAGCAAATATAATGTTTGGGTAGGGGCTTTGTAAATGAACTTACCTATACAACAAAGCCACCTTAAGAAGGTGTGGTTTCATCTAGATGTCTGCTTCTGAACTTCCGTATTCCGTTGCGGTCTTAACAATGAATATCATGTATTATGATCTACAATGTGTAGATGCTATCGAAGTTGTATATCGTCTTGTCAAAACATTTGAAAACAGCTAAAGATAATTCATCTCTTTCAGAATCTGAACCATGGCATCTATCTTGTCTGTTGCCCTGATATGCGCATGCGTGCTGGTGTGTTCCGGTGCTGTGTACGACCAGTATCCGTACCACGGTCAGAAATCGGATGTGTATCCCGGAGGGAGCTACCCTGGATACCCCCACCAAGGTCAGTACTACCACGACGTACCCAGTTCAACACCATTCTGGTGAAACTGTATATATTAGAGATAGTAGAGTTTCTTTGTTTCTTTCTTTGTTGCCTAACGCCGCTCTCAGCATTATTCCAGCTATATGACGGCAGCCTGGACCAGACAATCCAGTGATTGACACCATGAGCATCGATCTACGACAATTGGATACACATATTTTCTGAATTCGACGAAACTCGCACCAGTACCCGCTACTTTCTACTTTCCCACGACTCACGATTATTTACAGACCGCCGTCATATAAATGGAATATTGCTGAGTGCGGTGTTAAACAAAAAACAAACAAACAGTGGCAGAACGTTTTGGGATGTCATTTGATTGTGACATCATGAAACAGATGATGTTACAAAGGTCTGCAAAGTATTGTTATGTAATGTCAGTCATCCTCGGAGATATCTCCCAAGAAATATCTCCTGTGGAAGATCCTGTTTTGGATGGCAAATACAGTTATTATCAGCTATATATCGTTCGCCATGCCTTTAGACTGCCATCTTACCACTAGTGCATAGTCCATGATGTTTTGATGGCTGAATGTATACGAACTAAAATATATACACCTGTCTCTATACTGTATATGATTTCTTCCAGATAAGCATGGAGGCTATTACGGAAGTGAGTAAATAATATTCCAAGTTCTTCTTCATATCATATCATAATATTATGAAGTTCGTGTGAATTCTAGTACACAATGCCATTTAAAAAATGGTCAAATGTAACAAAAGTTATGTTTTGGATAACGTTTTCTAAGTAGAGTACAGATTCTAGTTCTTTCTGGGGTTGAGTCCCATCCGTGGCTTGCCTACCAGTTGTCGGACTTTCGTTTTTGTGGAAGCTACATTGTGTGCTAGTGATTAGGTGCCTCACTCTGGCAGTGTGGGTTCGAATCCTGTTTGGGACTCAACCCACAAAAGTACTAGAATCTGTACTTTACTGAAAAAGTGTTATCCCAAATATAACATTTGTTACATTATGGATTTCGGTCTTAAAAATCAATGTATCTTTTCGTAAATTTAAATACAATGTTTATTTATATTGCAATCATTTATATCACAAAAATATCTCTTGCAAACGGGATTACATTAAAGTAAGTAATCAGTGCCACATGTAACTTTTATAAAATAAACTTTCTATAATATTATATGGATTAAATTATGTCAATAGTGTCGATATAATATTTACGTCTCTTCCCAATGAATTATCTTATATCACAACACACACGTGTTTTAACTAAGACATCCTGTCATTGTCTTCATGATGTATCTGACATAATTATAACATCTTGTTTTACCTTGACCAGGGTACCGACGATCTGTACCATCCTATGGTGATGGTAGCTACCCAAGCCACTACCCGTACTACCCGACAGGATACCCGTACTACCTAAAATACCCCACACAGAAACACTATTAACCATAAGGTATTGAAAATATTAATAATATTATTATAATACATTGCACAATCCATTTAAATTGACCTTGCACTGTCGAGTGTTCTTCGGTCAATACCACATAAGTCAACATGTTCATGATGAGTTCATATATTTAGAAACCGATGTTTATTAACACTCGTTATTATTATCTAACAATTTTACAATACAATTTGCTGAATACAAATGTGGAACAGTTTGAAAGAAGTCAGTATTATTCCTACAACGGTTGCCATAAGTAGTTCATACAATCCTTTCCTAGGGGCGGGAGTTAGCCTCGTGGTTAAAGCGTTCGCTCGTCACTCCGAAGACCCGGGTTCGATTCCCCACATGGGTACAATGTGTGAAGCCCATTTCCGGTGTCCCCCGCCGTGATATTGCTGGAATATTGATAAAACCGGCGTTATACCATACTCACTCATATACTTTCCTTTGTATTACTCAATCCGTCATCTCAAGCTTACGTATCAAGAAACTGTTTGTGAATTTACAAGTCGGTAGAGTCTCCAGAGAGACAGAGGTAGTCTTATTTGGGTGAGTAGGTAAATTGTACCGCTGGTTCACGAAATGTCAGCTTAATGCTGGAAACTCAGTGACCAAGTGACCACAAATCACAAAGATGGACCAAGGAATATGTTTGTTGCTAATTGGGTATTCGAAGTCACTACAGTTGATAGAGGTATGGATAGTGGATATGCAGAGTGAATCGCGAGGCCTTAGACCAATACATTATCCTATCTCTCGTTACAATATGATAGCCGAGGACTTGAAATCTGACATATGACGTGACGTCAAATAGTGTTATACTGGCATTTGGTGTGTTCATTTTGTAATAACCACGACTTGTGTATTTCAGCGATGGCGGGATACCACAGGCGGCCCAGAATCCGGCATCTGAATAATGCGATGTGCATGCATTACAAGAAATAAATGTTGTATATTTATGATGTAGTTTTGTTTTCTATAACATATTTAAGTGGCTCTGACAAATAGTTGCACATATACGTACTTAAGTGTATGTGAGGTGAGGTTTGACGTCGTGTTCAAGATCACTATACTTGAGGTGCATGCATTTGTGTGTGTGTGTGTGTGTGTGTGTGTGTGTGTGTGTGTGTGTGTGTGTGTGTGTATGCCTGCTTGAACTAGTACGGACTAATGCCGATTTTATAGTGCTATCCCACTGAGATACCATGCTGCAGTTTACCATGAATACCCCACACAGTATACTGACTTCAAGCCGACCAGTCCTTGTTTTAGCGTCTTAATGCCGGGCGCCAGGCAGGGTAACAACAAGTACCATCTTTTAACGTTGTTTGGTATGATATGTCCAGGGATCGAACCCCGAACCTTCCGCTCTCCACTAGACCATGGAGGCGGTCTTAGTGAATGTCAAACGCACACATCAGCTTGTATTGCTTGTTGGAGCTGTTATAATCGTGCAATGACATGCGGACACATTATAGCAAAGATTTCCAGTTTTAGAACAGAACATCAATTGAAAAGTTATAGAGTCAATTCTATATTTTTTCAAGGATAAATACAGATATGAATACATGATTTTTGTAACATGTTAGACGAAGAACGCAGGTATTCCCTGCTACATATTTCTTTCTCAAATAATATCCATAATTACCATATTTGCGGACCGCAAGTGTCGCTTCTGCTGTAAGCAAGGCATTGTTCCTTCTCGGCGTGCACTCCGTGTGGAGTCACCTGGTGAACATTTAAGTCTTCAAAGCCAGGCGCTAGGCATGGTAACAACAAGTACCATCTTTTAACGGGTTTTTTTATGACGCGTCCGGGGATCGAAACCCGGACCTTCCGCTCTCCGGGCGGACGCTCTTCCACTAGACCATGGAGGCGGTCTTAGTGAATGTCAAACACACACATCAGCTTGTAGTGCCTGTTGGAACTGTTATGATCGCGCAATGATATGCGGACCCAAAATAACAAGGATTTACAGTTTCAGAAAAGAACTTCAATTGAAAAGTTATAGAGTCAATTATATATTTTTCCAGGATAAATACAAATATGAATACATGTTTTTTCTAACATGTTACACGAAGGCACAAGTATTCCCTGCTACATATTTGTTTCTCAAATATTATTCATAATTATAATATTTCCGAAAAGTCTCGCCTCTGCTGTAAGCAAGGCGTTGTTCCTTCTCGGCGTGCACTCCGTGTGGGGTCACGTGGTGAATCTTTAAGTCTTCCAAGCCAGGTGACTAGACAAAGCTGCAAGGAAATAAATATTGCCAAAATCGCTCTTGTAATATTGCAATAATTATAGAATTTATTTACACCCAGTGGAAACTGTTCCGTCGGTAATCGAGACTGGTTAATGTTTGATATGTATGTGCACGTTTGATATTCTGTAGACATGTATCCATTATTACGTACGTAAGATAATCACATAAATCTCATGAATGCGTGGTCCTGAGTCGATGCGAGCATCCAACGTTAGTCCCGATATATATCCAGATAGTTAAAACTGACTTCATTTCACCACGCGTATGCATTTATGTTAAATCAAATTGAAAGTCGAGAAATTGGTTGGGTGCCTTCACGCTCATAGACACGCTCGATCTATTGATCGGTAGTAATACATTGCAAATGGATAAGCTCTGTTATCTAATGTCTGTAGTAGCTCTGTGCATAACTAATATAGAATGCCAGGCGAAGTTTGATGCGTGTGACTATCTTGTTTGGTTTAATAAAGTGTGTGTAAATGTCTCTCATTTCTTCAATTCTGCATTGTCGTTGCAAATAGAATGACGTCTCGTGATTTTTTTATGAATGAAAAAAGTAGTTCCGGTGTGACAGAAGTCAAGGGTTATCCAATCAAAACGAAGAAAACGAGGTCAACCTTGTACAATACACGTGTGAAGTACGAATTTAGTATCTTACCACCTGTATCTCAACCACGAGGGTAATAATCATTGTTATGACAATACAACACTGTGATTATTGAGCCAGACACGATTCCCCATATGGTTACAATGTAGGAAGTTTCTGGACATCAGCGTTGATTCTAAAGTATTTAAACTGAGAGGTAAAAGAAAGTATACCGATGTTGGTTTATTTTATGTAACTTGAAATTGAAGAACCGTTGTTAAATTTGATGAGTTTTGTTTAAGCATCACTCATTCCTGCAACATTTTGTAAAAAGTAATCTGTCGTTGGATAATTGTATTAAAATAGAATTGACCGGCGTAAGAAATGGATTGGCAACCACACGACCACATGTTTGAAATGTTGGAGAGAAAAAAGGGAAAATTTATTATGTTTATAAGATATTAAGGTACCCATCAGCAGTTGTGTATTTGGCGGATTTTGAATATATTTTTATAAATTTTAAATCAAATTATGTTCAAAGTACTCTTTGACAAGTACAGCACAGTTCATTTTATATAATATCGCTAACTTAAGATATGTTCAATTGAATATGAAAAGCAGATGAAAAAATCAACTGAGAGGTATAGTTCTTTTTGTCTCACAGTTTATATAACTATATTCGAAAGTAAAATTACCCTAAAACACATTAGAATATACTTATACTATCAATTCCTAGTTAATTATATTCATTGAATGCTTTTATTCATGACTGAATCAATCACTAAGACTAATTAGCTTTACAGGCTTTGACAGAGTATCGCATCCCAGGGCTTGAGTAGGTGTGGGCAACTTTGGTCAACCGAAGTCAATCAGTAAATATGATCCCGCATAAGTCAACCATGTTAACGTAACCAAAAATTTCAAGTCGCATTCACCAGGGTTGTCTAGGGTTTGGGAATCGAACGGGAGCACCTATAGCTACTAACTAATGTCACACACATCGACAACGCATGGCGTTGGCTTACTATACGCCCCAGAGGCTTATCAAGGAACGTAAAAGATTAATCAGCACTATCAGGCCCCTGTTGTGATATCTACCGGGCTACTACTGTTGAAACAATATATTGTGAAAACAACATGACGGATGGATGGATGGATGGATGGATGGATGCATGGATCCCAGATTCGCCTTGATGATGTTTCTGGTTTCATCACCACACCCGTGGTCATGGGTTTCACCAAAGATGTCAACTCCTCCTCCCAAATCAAGCTGCTACACTTTTTAATTATCAACAGGAAAGTAGGTGACAATGTTGGAATTGATTGACCAGGAAAGCTTTGTTTATCTCGTCCTTTACATGGCTTAACAGTGTAATTCATATTTACTTCACGAGTTTCCTAATTCGACAGTGATATATCAGTTTCTTAAAGAGAGAAAAACAGTTTGATAAATGTTGATGATTTTAATGTAGCGGAACTCGTTGCCATATTCGCGCGTCGAGCGTAAACTGGAAATCAGGTGCAGCATTCGGCTTGGCTGCATTTGATGCACTCATTTATCTGTGGTGGCCGAGGGAATTTACACACACAAAGTTGCACATGTGTCCCTTATTGGAAACTGTTGCAATTAATTGGAAATATCTTTCACACATATTGAATATCATCTGAAACTGAAATAATTGGGTCTGGACCAGACAATCCAGTGATTGACATCATGAGCATCGATCCACGCAATTGTGATACGATAACATGCATCAACCAAGTCAGCGAGCATGGCCACCCGATCCCGTCAGTCACCAAAACTAATAGTTAAAACAAAATTATAGCTCGAGTGAGTGAGTGAGTGTCAGCAATTAAAATAATCTAGTCTTGACCAGACAACCCAGTGATTGAAAGCATGTCAGTGACCTAAGATCCACGCAATCTTGTCATGGTGACACACACTCCGCCAATCTGTTTAATCGACAACATGCCACCTGTTAAGATCTGGAGTAGAATAGGTCTTCAGCAACCCATGCTTGCTGTAAGAGGCGACTTTCCTTGTCGTAAGAGGTGACTAACGGGATCGGGTGGTAAGGCTTGCTGACTTGGTTGATGCATGTCATCGTATCCCAATTGCGCGGATCGGTACTCATGATGTCAGTCACTGCATTGTCTGATCCAAACTCTATTATTTCCAGACCGCCGTCATATAGCTGGCATATTGTTCAGTACGGCGTTAAACAACAAACAAACAAACAAACAAACAAATAAACAAATCGACAGCATGGCACAGGTACCGGGGGGCAATTCTATCAGGAATCCAACGGAAACAATACCATTGGATTAGAGTGAAGAAGTGAACAGGCTTTCTCTCAATCATATGTAGCAGAACCGATGTACAGAAAACGAAAGCTACCATCGCATGAGTGTTTTCTGTCATGTTTCACGTGAGCAATTAAAAAAGAAATGACAGCTGAAAAAAATCAATGGCGGAAGACCTCACAAGTTATTACACCATCTTTTGTCCCTGTCGCTGGGCAGTCTACCGTGACATGACCAGCAAAATATATTTTCAGCCTGTAGACGCATCATTTAGAATAATTTATGACAACATAATGCATCCAAAAAACGTCTCGTCGGTTCAACGTGTATATAAGACCCGTGTGACTTTTCCAGAACACTGACATCTTTCTCTTCAGACTGATTGCTGACTTTCTGGTGAGTCTTTTCTTCTTTCTACAACAAAGCCACCTTAAGAAGGTGTGGTTTCATCTAGATGTCTGCTTCTGAACTTCTGTATTCGGTTGCGGTCTTAACAATGAATATCATGTATTATGATCTACAATGTGTAGATGCTATCGAAGTTGTATATCGTCTTGTCAAAACATTTGAAAACAGCTAAAAATAATTCATCTCTTTCAGAATCTGAACCATGGCATCCATCTTGTCTGTTGCCCTGATATGCGCATGCGTGCTGGTGTGTTCCGGTGCTGTGTACGACCAGTATCCGTACCACGGTCAGAAATCGGATGTGTATCCCGGAGGGAGCTACCCTGGATACCCCCAACAAAGTCAGTACTACCACGACGTACCCAGTTCAACACCATTCTGGTGAAACTGTATAT